CAGGCTATTGTTTTAATTTACGTTTAGGAATTTTCTTTTGGTGTTCCAAAAAACAAGAGATTGTTGCACAATCAAGTGCAGAAGCTGAGTATGTATCAGCAACTGCATCTAAAAATCAAGCTTTATGGCTTAGAAAGATCATAGTAGACCTACACATGGAGAAAAAGAAAGCTACTGAGATTTATGTTGATAATCAAGCTACAATAGCCATATCGAACAATCCAATTTTTCATGGGAGAACCAACCATTTCAAGATCAAATATTATTGTCTAAAGGAAGTTCAGAAAAATGAAGAAGTACATCTTGTCTACTGCAAAATAAAAGATCAATTTGCTGATATACTAACCACGCCCTTGTCTAAAATGAAGTTTGAAATCTTGAGAAGTAGAATAAATATCTGTAGTAAAAAATGCAAGGAGGAGTGATGAAAGCTGCCTCATTTACTGCAGAAGACTTAGTCTCTGGAGTTGTTTACTTCAAGTCAAAATCAGTTCCACAAAATTTGGATTTTGTTGCAAATAAAACTGCAGTAGAATAGCTCTTTTTCCTTGATAAACATGTCTTTATTTTCTGCAGATTTTAGATTATTAGTTTCTCAAATTCTTGTATAAAAGGGTGCTTCTGTCAATGGAAAACAAATTTTTGTAGTTCCCTTTCAGCTTTATAAACTCTATCTTCTTTACTCTTTATCATATTTGGTTAACCAAACAAACACAAAACAAACATACAGCAATCGAGTCATTATTTGATTGTGGAAGCTCCGTTGTCGTTAGATTATCAAGGGGATTACTCTTCCTTCCACTCTGAAAGGATTTATCAGACACTGCAGAATGAAGAATTGAAAAAGCTTTGAAATTCCTCATGGACCATTCTGCATCTTGCATAATGTGCGATAAGGTGAGATTTTCAAGTAATGGAACTCTTACATACTCCTCCTCCACAACGCTCCACAAATCATAAGCAAGAAGATAAGCTTCCATTCTCACTACCCAATAAACATAATTCTCCCCTGTAAATATTGCTCGAGCTGGCAAGTTGACATTTGAAGCCATTTGAATTACTCATAACTCAAGGCCCTTAAAGAATATTGCTCTGATATCACTGTTGGAGGCAAAAGCTTGCCGTTTTTGTGTTTGTAATTTCAAAATAGAGAGAGAATAATACAACAATTTAAATCTAAATGTGTGGGTCTGCAGCAAAAAAAAAGAGAGCAAAAAAAAATTAGAGAAAAAATGCAAAAGAGAATACAGCAGAGTGAGACAGCTTCTGAAAAATATAAAGTCTATATATTTTAGTTCATCAGCCTTACAAATATATAGCATTTTTCAGGGAAGATATTTTGCTACAGCAAATACAAGCTGCCAGCAAAGAAGTCAAATAAAACACATCATTTTGTTAACCAAAACAAGCAAGAATTGCTAATTTTCTTGCATCGAAGCATGCATCATCATTCCTTTCAACTACCACTTACTAACTAAAGCATAATATAAAAAAATAATCATAATTTTCTGACTTCAGCAGTCACTGTTCAAGAAAAACTCAGCTGCTAATAAAGGGGAAGGCTATACTTCGGATCAATTGATGGTATAATAAGGGTATGTTGTTGATATTAAGAAATTTTCCTGCTACTAATTTTCGTGTCAACATACAGCTTCTTTACATAGAGTATCCTATCTGCCTTTCTTTTTCTTTTTTCATTAGATGTCTATCATCTTAATTTCATTGATTATTTCTGTCATATACTCTACAAGATAGATCATTTTTCATGGTTACTCTTTCCTATGAGTATCAAGTAAACTCTGCCCCCTTGTCCTTTAAAATTTGATTTGAGGTAGAAGAGATGAAATTCAATATTAGGATATTCAAACTGTAAGTAGTATACCAAGTAAGGAATACAATTAACTGTTAACGTTAAGGTTGAGTTTTTTTTTTTAATTTCAACTCTGTAGGATATCAACGGGAACATAATATAAATAAAATAGAAAATTGAGAGAAAATATTATTCCAATTACAAATTAATCCCATATTTAATTTTAATTGTATTTTTGTTATTACTTCCTTAATATGTGAAAATAAAAATCTACAGTTTTCATATTAAAATATAATTTATTTTGATTAATCTATACTTCAAATATGTAAATTATGATTAACTTTCAGATGTCAAATAAACTTATAATGTAGGAATTGAAAGGAAATAAAAAAAGATTGAACCAGACCCCCGCTATTGTAACTTTCTAAACCGTGAGTAACTTTGGTATTGATTATTGTTCTCTTATATTCTTTAATTCTTGTCATCTTGCGGAGAACGCTTTGCATTTATGTTGTTTTATATAATGGTTTTTTCCTAGTATTGATATATTCATTCTTTAACATTACATGGCCTCCACTTCCTTGTCTTTGCTTATCTGACCTTCGCACAAATTATTCGATTTATGATAATATTTTCTTGATATGCACAAAGATCATTTACCATTTCCTTTTAAATATAAAACCAAGTTTGGACCTTGACACACTGCAACTTGTTACATCATTGAAAGGGCATAAAGAGGCAGTTACATCTGTTTTTTGTTGGGATCAATTTTTGTTATCATGCTCATTGGATCGAACTTTAAAATTCTAGGGTACATCTGAAAAAGGTGTCCTGGAAGTATTCTATATGCACACTAAACAACTGGTATCATTTATTTCTAGCCTTTTCTCCAGATACCGTGT